TGAAGTCTAATTAATCTTCAACACTTATTATTATCTGTAAGCAAAGTATTATACTACTATTTTTGGCTCGTGTTTCTTCTTGTTAATGTGAGATATTCATCCCTGCGTCTATAGAATTTATTAATAATTTTGGTTGTGTACCTGTTTGTGTGTACTAGTACAGAGCCCGTGCGATGCACGGGGTGCACAATTTTAAGCTAATTTATCCATTCTTATAATTGTATAAATGAATAAAAAAAATGTACGAGATATATATAGTACGTGACCTGTAATAGGCCAAAATGTGAACACGGGTGATGCACGGGGTGCACAATTTTAAGGTCATTTATTAGTGCATACCACTTGCGATGCACGTGATACATATAATAAATCAATTATTTCTATAGGACTTGTACGTCTAGACAAAAAAACAATAGGCTTGGATCATCCATATTCACATATTTTAATAAGTGACGTTTATTTAAGCCAAAAAATTAACATGTTAATTAATACATAATTCCGCTAACACGTCATACTAATATTTATTTGATTTTAGAATACATATTTATTCATTGATATAGGAAAAAATAAAAATTTTATTAATTATTGTTCACCATATAATACTCAATTATTATTTTATTATAAAATTTACAGTCATATAATATATTATTATTATTTATAAAAGTTATAGAAGTAGTTTTCTTTATGTAATGAAATTCAAAATAAATTTTTAAGTATAAATGTTTACAAAATACACACACATGTTTTTTAGAATTCAATTTTCTCATAATAATTTTTTTTTTTTAAAAAAAAATGATTTAGCAATTGCCAAAAAAATAAATCTCTTACATAATCAAAAGATTTTTTCTAATTTTCATCCTAAGGCTTTATAGTTTATTTAACATACTATGCAATAGAAAAATATTTTACAATAAGTTCATTTTTTAAACATAACAAAAAAGTGATAAAAACACTATCATAGTTGACAATATTCACGCTATTTTCGAGCTATTTCCAAGCCACCCGAATCCACATCGAGCCACCC